AAAAAAAAAAAAAAAGCAAAAAAATAAAAATAAACATTACACAAAACCAACTTCTAATGGGAAAACTGATTAACAAAACAGAGAGAGTTCCATCCATTGCACTATGCTGATAATATATTCCAAGTGGATCAGACATTAAAATGATGGCAGAAAGAACAAAAGAAAGTTAACCTTATAAACTTTAATTTAGATTGAGTAAATCTAAGATTTCATAAAAAGTAGGAAAAAATTAGAAATCAGATATCATAAAAATAAAAACCTGGGGGCTAAAGAGATGGTTCAGTAGATTAAGGAATTTGCCATCAAGACTCTGACCCCTGGAGGAGAGTACCATCTCAAGTTGTCCTTTGACCTTTCCATGTGTTCCACGGTGTGCGCGCACACACACACACACACACACATATTCTTTAAGCAAACACTTCCATTTTTAAACCTTCAATGAAAAACATACTTGCAAACTGGCATAAAAGTGAAAGCAAAGATTGTAAGTATTTGTAAAAACAACCTATAAGGCCATGAGTGGAGAACAAACTAGAGAACATTCAAATGATGAAACACTGTAAATCTATAAAAATAAAAGATATGTTTTATATAAAAGTATGGGGGAGGATCCTGCAAAACATTATGTATGAGTATGTCACGTTTAGGTTTGTTTCAGCATACACTTAAAGTCCCTGAAAGAACACTACTCATTCTTTAGAAGGAAGACAGGCTGGAGGAGACTTTGCTTCTTAATGTTTAACCAAAAAAATACAGAGTTTACTCCAAAAATTAATTTTAAAATTTTGATTCTCAATATGGTGTGCTCCATTAAAAATCAGCATTCATGAGTTGAACAGATTTTGTTCCTTTTTCTTCTTTTCGTGTGCATGTGATGTACATGTGTGCTCGTGTTCATGTGTGGATGTGGGTGGCTGTGCAGGCCTGTAATGGCTGTTCTTGGTTATGAACTTGACTACACCTGGAACAAACTAAAATCCAAAGGGCTGAGCACACTTGTGAGTAATTTTTTTCTTAATTAGTAATTTGAAGTGGGTAGACCCATTTCTATCCTGAGTCTTTGAGGTACGGAGACACACCTTTAATCCAGATCTTTAGAGATGGGAGGAGCCACCTTTAATCTGGGCCATACCTTTTCACATCAGCCCATATAAAGGACATGGAAGAAGGAAGCACTTTGCTCTTTGCCTGCTTGCTCTCACTGGCAAGTTCATTCTTTCACTGGCTTTGGAGACTACTTCTTCAGGATTCCAGCACACAGTGAAGACCAGCTAAGACATCCATCCCCATGGACTGAACAACTACTGAATTCTAGGACCTTTCATTGGTAGGCACCCATTGTTGTACTAGCTGGACTACAACCTGTAAGCCAATCTAATAAATTACCCTTCTATGTATATCAGTATCTCTCTGTGTATGCACGTGTTTGTATATACATGTGTGTACATACACGTATACATATGGTGTAGGAGGTTCTTCTGTTTATGTGTTGCTTTCATTGGTCAATGAATAAAGAAGTTGCTTTGGGCCTGATAGGGCAAAACTTAGGTAGGTGGAGAAAGACAGAACTGAATGCTAGGAAGAAGAGCAGAGTGAGAGATGCCTTGGATCTTCTTCCTGAGACTGACGCCAGTTAGAATCTTGCCGGTAAACCAAAGTCACGTGGCGATACACAGATTAATAAAAATGGGTTAAATTAAGATGTAAGAATTAGCCAATAAGAAACTAGAGCTAATGGGCCAGGCAATGTTTTAATTAATACAGTTTCTGTGTGGTTATTTCGGGTGTAAGCTAGCCGGGCAGCAGGCACAAACAAGTGGTCTGCTCCCACCAATATACATACATATTCATTTTATAGGTACTGTTCCTCTACAGAACCCTGACTAATAGACTGACCTTGGGAATCTTCCTCAATTACTCATTCCCCAAGTCTTTGAGGTAAGATCTCTCAATCAAACCCAGTGCTTGCTAATTATATGTAGGCTGCCAGGCCCACCTAGTATTTCCATTCTATAATGAAACAGAATCCCAAGAGAAAGAAACAGAAAGTGAAATCTTTTGATGACATGTGATTGAGAGACTGCAGTAAAATCACCTGTTAAGTGATCGACACACTAAGAGTCCCTTCTACTCCCTAAATGTTATTTAAGATCTTTATCAAGAGGATAGAGAAATGCCTCAGCAGTTAAGAGCTCCTGGATTTGGTTCCCAGCACCACATAGGATGACTCACAACTGCCTCTAACTCCAGCTCCAAGAGGATCTGGAGCACATACAAATGCATAAATCCATGTACATATATGCATATGTCTGTCTATCCATCTATCTACTATCTATATGTCTAATATCTATCTTTAAAAACAAAGTTTATCAGAGACTGGAGATACAACTCAGCCTTTCAGTCTTAGAAGATATGCCCATTCCATGCAATGTCCTAGGTTTAATCCCAAAATCAAAAAAGAAAATGTTTAACAGTTTTAGAACATGCCTAAGAAGAAAACCAACTGTATAAAATACTTACAGTGGTCTATTCTCTAGGTCAACGCTTCTTTCTTCTGTTCCGGCATTATTTACTTCACAGGAGGCAGCACCCACAACTTCTGACAAAGGCAAATCTGCAGCACTTGACTCTGAGGACTCACTTGCTAGCGGCATGATATTTTGTTGATTACTAAGGAAGGGAAAATGTATCAGGAGGAACATACTATTAGAAATAAATTTTCATACCACTAAAGGACACAAACATGCTTGCTGATATGGTGTGAAACCTCTTGCCATCATTCTTGTGTTTTTGAACCTGGGTTTTTTATTGACCTAAAGCTCACCAATTAGCCTAGGAAGGCTGGTGAGCAAGCCCAAGCATCTCATCTCTTCCTCCTACAAAGTAGGATATCAGTGTGTAATACTACACCTGGCTTTGATATGGGTGCTGGGAATTAAACGTTAACATCATGGCGATCTATGATGTAATCCCAGCACCTGGGAAGCTATGACAGGAGGACTTGTTTGTTTGTGTACTTATTTGTTTTGGAGGCAGAATCTACTAGTAGAACCTGCTAGGTATATCCCAAACTAACCTTGAACTTATGATATTCCTGCCTCAGCCTCCTCAGTACTGGGATTTTATGAATGTACCAGCACACCAAGCTTGAAGATAATACACAATGATTTACAAAATGAAAATGGTTAACCAAGAGGCTATAGAAATAGCTCTGCAGTTAAGAGTACACACTGCTCCTTGACAGGACTTACGCTCAGTTCTTAGTACCTATACCAGGTAGTCACAATCACCTATAATTCCAGTTCCAGGGGAATTCAATGCCTCTGTGGGCACCTATACTGATGTGCACATATCCACACAAACATACACATGCAAACATAATTAATAATAAAGAGAAATCTTTTTTAAAAGCTAATAAAAATACAATAATCTGAGTTACATTCAAGTTTAACAAAAAGGTTCAAAAATAAATAAAGCAAAACAAACAGGAAAAGAAGTGCAAATCCACAATGACAACTGGAGACTCCATAGAAGATGCAGATAAAGCCAGTAAAGAGGCAGAAAATACCATGCGGAAGGGCTGGAGCCAGTTCTCAGCTCCACCGTTTCACTGGAGGGTGAGAATGACTCTGCAATGTCGTCTACGCGCTGTGGGAAAGAAGGTGTCTGTTCCTCATTGCATTCGCCTTCATTTTCCTCAGGACTTGTATCTAGGAATATAAAACACATGTTCTTCCAAAAAGTAGTAAAAATAGCAATATTGTAGAGCATAAGGAATTGATATGCAACAACTTGTCTTTTCCTACAAAATATTAATCCACTTAACATTCAAGATTTAGGGTTTTTTCCTGAACATTGTGTTTTGCTGTTTAAGCCCTCAGCCTTTAATAACTAAGCCATCTCTCTAGCACTTTTACCCTTTAAACTTTATTACATTTACTATTATCATTTCTGTGCATATATATGTGTGTGCATGAGTGCCCACATGTTTCACCTCACACATATGGAGTTCAGAAGACAACTCCGTGCAGCTAGTGCTCTCCTTTCACCTTTGAGGGTTTGGGGGATTGAATCCAAGTTGTCAGGATTGCAGGCAAGTGCTGAGTCATGCCAGGCACACAAAAGGATGCAAAATAAATGTGTAATAAAAAGCACTAATATTTACCCTATGATAAAGAACCACCTTAATTCCAACATCATAAATGACGCATCAATATTTTAGATGGTAAAAGACTAGAACTATAAGCTATTCTTCTGTACATGTAAAACATGTCTTTTTCTTTTGGTTGAGACAGGGACTAATGTAACAGACTGGCATCACACTAGGTAGCCAAGGATAATCTTCAACTTCTGAATCTACTTATCTATCTACTCTACCACCTAAGTGGTGAGATTACAGGCACTGGCCAGTTTACCCAGTTTTCTTTTATTATATAATCTGTTTAAAAAAATAATTTCCATTTTTTAATTCATTTACTTGGTGTGTGTGTGTGTTACCACAGTGCCCATGTGGACATCAGAAAGCAACTAACAGGAGTTGGTTTTCTTCTCTGTGGATCCCTGGGATCAAACTTAAGTACCTTTACCCACTGAGCTATCTCACAAGCCTCTACATGTAATATTTCTTGTAATGGTAAACAACAAGAGTACAATATTCTAATGCTTATAAATCAGATAACTGTGGGCTGGGCATGATGGCACATGCCTTTAATCCCAGCATTTGGGAGGCAGAGGCAAGCAGATTTCTGAGTTCGAGGCCAGTCTGGTCTATAGAGTGAGTTCCAGGACACCATGGCTACATAGAGAAACTCTGTCTCAGACAACAACAACAAAAACCAGACAGCCGTAAGCAGGACATAAGAGCAAATACATACAATCCCTGCTCTTAGACTGGTGAAGCAAGAGTTCAAGATCATCCTTGACTTCAAAGCAAGTTCTAGTCCAGCCTGGGCTATATTAGACCCTATCTCAAAAGAAAAAAAAAAAAAGAAAGAAAGAAAACTTTTATTACTTCAACTACCAGAACTGATCTATTAAACTACTATGACTTCCTCTCTGCTAGCTAGCTCTCATTGTGCTGATGGTGTTATACAAGCTACTGAAGGAAAAAGTCATTAACTGCCTTACCACTTAGGAACACTGCAAGCAACTGCAACTCAACTGACAGGAGATGTCCATTGGTGCAACAGTGGCACAAATGCTAGAAGTAACAATTCCTTCTTGATTAGGTTTCTAGCCAGATCCACAGGAGGAACCTCTGCTTGAGCAAGAAAGCCCGGACCAGAGACCATGATGTCCTAAGCCATAGGGAATATCCTACTGCTTTGCTAAATGGACACAGTATCAACTGCCTTCTAAACAGTTGTCTTCACAGCTAAGGATTAGAGAAGCTTCTTTTTGTAGTTAACATAGTCATTACAAAGACTCAGAAATGGTCAAACTGCAGAAAGTGACTGTTGAGTGTTCAGTCTCAAACGAACAACTAAAACAACCAGCCACCCTAACCCGTGAACTTGGGAAACATCGCAGAGGTCATAGAAAGTCTGTAAGAACCAGAGGTTGAGGGGCTGGAGAGATGGCTCAGAGGTTAAGAGCATTGCCTGCTCTTTCAAAGGTCCTGAGTTCAATTCCCAGCAACCACATGGTGGCTCACAACCATCTGTAATGGGGTCTGGTGCCCTCTTCTGGCCTGCAGGCATACACACAGACAGAATATTGTATACATAATAAATAAATAAATGTTTAAAAAAAAAAAAGAAAAAAGAACCAGAGGTTGAGGAGAACTTCTGAAAATCAGTCTTTTGGACGTGACAGAAGTACTTCACTTAGGAACTCATAACAAATATATCTACAAACACAAGATCAAACCAGTCAACAGTCCAGCATGGGTCAGGGAAGGACACAAGCGCCTATCCTCAGCTGAGGTGCTCCTGGCAGGTGATGGCTACTGGGGAAGGGATAGTCGGTTTTGTAAGGGGTGTGGCCTCTGGTTAGGTTAGGTATGGATGACCCCACTCCCGTGCACATATGAGCAACACTGATGGGACTTGGTGGGTTGTTTTGTTTGGTTCTTTAAAAAGAACATGAAGAAGCTGGAGAGATGGCTCAGTGGTTAAGAGCATTGCCTACTCTTCCAAAGGTCCTGAGTTCAATTCCCAGCAACCACATGGTGGCTCACAACCATCTGTAATGAAGTCTGGTGCCCTCTTCCGGCCTGCAGACATACACACAGACAGAATATTGTATACATAATAAATAAATTTTTAAAAAAAAAAAAAGAACATGAAGCTGGAAGATACATTGGGGAGGGTCTGGAAGGGGACTAAGGAAGCAGGCAGAAGGGGTTCCTAAGTAGTAAAGCCAGGAACCTGCGGGTGCTAGCACATGCTCTACTACTGAGCAGTACCTCCAAACTTATTATTTCACTTTAAGTATTCTTAAAGCAAACTCTTAAGAAGTCCCCAGTTTCCTCTTAAGTTTTGGTTTTTGTCTTCCAGCAACACTTAAATTACAGTATGCTTGCATTCTAAGAATACAAGAAAAAAAAGAAATGGAAATTCTACTAGCTCTTTTTACAGACTCACAGAGGTATTCCATGAAGGCAGATCATAAAAATCTGAGATTCGTTATAGATATATGAGCACCAATGACTGTTAATGGGAACACAAGGGAAATAATTCAACTTCTGAACAATCTGGAGAAAATTCTCCCTGCTTCACTTTTTTTGTTTTGTTTTCTACAGCTGTTTTTTTCTCTTTAACTAAAATTAAGAAGGCAAGATGTAACATAGTATTGGGCAGACAACCACTAACAAACATTAGGATTAGCTGTTATCCACAACGGTAGCATCTGTCATATACATTACTGTACATGCCCCTTCTAATAAAACCGAGGATCTTAGAATGTGTTTGAAACTTACTCTTGTGTATTTCTGCTTCAGGAGAGCTCGACTGAACGAGGACATTTCCTACAAGATTTGCTGCTTCCTGCTTATTAGCTTCGTTTTGCTTCTTCCTCCTCCTCCTTTTCTCTTGATTTTGATCTTGCTCTAACATGGTTTGTTCTAAATCCTGTCCTGACGAAGTTGTTGGTTCCTCTTCAGCAACTGTCTGAGTATCCTTCTGAGATCTTTCTGGATCTGAACTGTTACTATTTACAGATTCATCTGGATCATCATTCACTTCCTCACTAGTTACCTTTTTGGCTAAAAACAAGAGAAATTGTTATAAACACATGAAATATGTATAGAAAACTTATTGAAAGGGAAGATGATAAATACTCAAAAGTATATTCTGTCTGTCATGTCATTTTTGTGAGAAACTGAAGACATACTTAAAGAGGAGAAGAGATCAGCTCTAACATTCGCACTATAAGCTCACGCAGGTACAGGCTAGAGTGGCTCAGTAGTAAAGCACATCCTACTTAGCATATACACAGCCGTGGGTTCAATGCCCAGCACTGCCACCCCCAACAAAAAAAAGATACATACATGCCAATTACCAATAAAAGTAAGTTTATATGTAAAAATGTGATGGGATTCAAGGTATATTACAACAATATAAAAACTTCAAGTGGCAGAAATATTTACATATTTATGAGCTTACATTTTCATTTTAAAAAATTACAGACACACCATTATTTGCTAGAAAAGGGCTTGGTGATAGTTATTCCTAAAAATGCTGAAGAATTTGCTTTGAACATCGGGTAGAACAAACAGTTCTAGAATTGTAACTTTTGTATCATTTTGATTGCTTAAGACAAGGTCTGATGCATTCCAGGTTGCTTCCAACTGTACTATATAACTGAAAGTAGGCATGAACTGTGTCCCCTGCCTGAACCAAGAATCTTTTTCATCATTTTTGTGGTACTGGGGATCAAATCCAGGCAGTTTTCTGCATTCCTGGCAAATACTAAACTACATCCCCAGACTTAAACATTGTTTTTCCTTTTAAATATATGTGTGCACACACAGTATGTGGTTATCTAGAGAGTCTACAAGATGGCATCAAATGCCATAGAGTTGCAGTCAAATGCAATTGTAAGTCACACCAACACAAGTGCTGGGAACCAAACACCAGCCCAATTTAAAAGCAACAAAGCATTCTTAACCTCTGCGTCATCTCTCCAGCTCATATCAGGCCTCTCAAAAAAGCACAAATTCATGCGCACACACACACTATACAGGTAACACACAAACAGAAACAAATCATTAAAAGGGAGCTGTTATTTGCCCCAGATAACTGGCAAAGTGATGATACTAATTCCCTCCAACTATGCACTATGATGGTGTCAACTACCTGAATAACATCTCAATTCATAATGGCAATACTGTAAATTCACCACTAGATGAAACTCCAAACAATACCTTTCACGTTTTTCCGTGGTTTGGAAGACTTTTCCTTTGAACTCTGACATTTAGTAGATTTTTTTCTTTTTTCTTCTTCATCAAGAACTTTCTGAAGCAAATGAGCAAAAAAATCCAAGTCAAAGGGGCGTTTTTCCTCTGTTTAAAGAAAGGGGAAAGTTTAGAGTTTTTATTTAAAAAAAAAAAAAAAAAAAAAAGAAGAAGAGCTCTCTAGTTTTCAAAGTAGGACAATATCCAAAGCACAGGATGGATAAACAAATATATGGCACTGTTAAGTAATAAAACAAAAAAGTAACTTAACAAGTATGGGCTAAATGTGTAAGAGCTTGGTGAGGTAGCACGTATAGAATACACAAGACCTTGGATTCAAGCCCCAATCCAAAAAAAATAAATTAAATTATTAGGTTGGTGCAAAAGGAACTGCTGTTTTAGACCATGAGTTTTATGTCATTATAAATAGGTTCAAATACATCTTTCTTACCAAAATAAAAACCGTTCCAATCAATATATTCTTGCCAATTTAAAGTAAGGTGTTTTGTTTTAGTCACTGTAAAGTCCATCCCTGGGATTCAATGACTCTTGGAAAGCACTTTCTGCCTCTTTCTGGTGTAAAACATTTTACTTGTAAAAAGCTGTTGAGATGCTTGGAGAAGTCACAGTCAACTGGCAAGGGGCCAGGTGAACATAGCAGATAAAGAAAAACTTTGTGGCCTAAGCCAGGTGTGGTGGCACACATCTTTGATTTCAAAGGCAGGCATCTCTGTGAGGTCAAGGCCAGCCTGGTTTACATCGAGCTCTATATCAGTCAGGATTTACAGTGAGACCCTGACTCAAAACCACAACTATGTAACCTAATTTGTTCAAGTTCCAATTTGTGAAGAATTAGCTGTGTGATATAAGGTTGGGCATTGTGGAAAATCAGGCCCTTTCTTTTGACCAATGTTGGCTTCTCAGGTGTAATAATTTCATCAGATTTCAGAAAGCAATGGCTCAGACTGTTAAGAGACCACCAGTCAGTAATCATGACCCCATCCCTTTTTGTGGGCAGTTCAAATTTGGTTTTGAGAAATGCTTTGAAGTTTCTTCTCAGCCCAAGCACTGCTAGGTCCTGCTGTCTTACACTATCCACTTTTCATTGCACATCACAACCCAATACAGAAACGCCACAACGTTTGTGTAGAATCAGGACAATAGTTCAAAATGGCTTTTTATTCTAGCTTTTTCATGTTTCAAATTTACTTCCAATGCAAAATGACCAGTGAATGGTCCACACTGAGTTCTACAGCAACCTTTGAGTTATAAAAGGAGCAGATTCAACAACTGCTCAGTTTGCTACATTCCACACCTTCAAGGCTCCCCTCTTCTTTGCAAACCTTCTTGAACCATTATTCTATCAATACATGTAACAGTTCCTCCTGGACCAAATGCATTGTTATTGTTGCAAACTTTCTTCATATATATGTATGGCCCATTTTGAACTCAAATAAGAAAATACTTGAGAGGCAAAAGAGCTGGCTCGGCAGTTGAGAGCACTGGCTGCTTGTGCTGGCTAGTTTTACATGAACTTGACATAAGGTAGAGTCATCCAAAAAGGAGGGAGACTCAACTAAGAAAATGCCTCCAAAAGATCAGGCTGTAGGCAAGCCTATATTCTTAATTAATGACTGATGGAGGAGGGTCCAGCCCATGGTGGGGGGTGCTATCCTTGGGTTGGTGGTGCTGGGTTCTGTAAGAAAGCACGCTGAGCAAATCATGAAGAACAAGCCAGTAAGCAACTCTCCTCCATGCCTTCTGCATCAGCTCCTGCCTCCAGAGTTCCTGTTCTGACTTCTATGATGAACAGTGATGTGGAGCAATAAGCCAAATAAACCCTTTCCTCCCAAGTACTTTTCATCATGGTGTTTCACCACAGCAATAGTAACCCTAAGACACTGCTCTTCGAGGGTTCAATTCCAAGTACCCACAGGATAGTTCACAACCATGTGTGATTCCAATTCCAAGGAATCTGACGCCCACTTCTGTCCTTTGTAGGTACTGCACCCATGGGCTGCACAGATGTGCATTCAGACATATAAAAAAAAATCTAAAAAAAAATGTAAAAGACTATCTGGGATTTGCTTTTTGTCTATGATTTCCTTAATATAAATAGGTAATAAGTCAGTAGTACAAGATCCTAAGGTGAGAAGTGTGCATTAATAATGCATAATAACTATATTTAAGAATGTAAGCATATAAAATAATAATTTTAACAATGCAAGAACCAAAATTACTTTTGTACCAACCTTATAAAAGGATTACACTATTTATACAAGCAACAAAATGGGTGAATCTCAAAAATAAAAGTAAAAGAAACCAACACCAAGCATTATTATTGCATGATCCAATTAGATGATCTAAAACATGCTAAACTAGCCCATGATAATTTAAATGGAAACAGCAGTGTCCTTGGGCTACAAAGCTTGACAGGAAAGCAAACAAAGGATATTCTACACATAACTTAGGAAGCTGGTTAATAGGGTATATTCTTTGTTAAAATTTCAAATTACACTTTGAACTACCATATCAATTATTTTGAATGGCAAAGATAAGGCCAAGAGATAATTCAGTGGTACACAACGTGAATTGTGAATTAGCTAGTACAAGAGCCTGGGTTTAGCCAGGCGGTGGTGGCACACGCCTTTAATCCCAGCACTTGGGAGGCAGAGGCAGGTGGATCTCTGTGAATTCGAGGCCAGCCTGGTCTACAAGAGCTAGTTCCAGGACAGGCACCAAAGCTACAGAGAAATCCTGCCTCGAAAAACCCAAAAACAAAACCTGGCTTTAATTTTCAGCCCCCAAACATATATGAAGGTAACTAAGATATCCTCCAAGAGCCTATGATTACAACGCCCTCTTCCCATTACAACCACTTCACTATGTATTCTTCCAAGCCATCAGTAAAATAAAACAGTCCAATGAAGTCAGAAATACTTACATTGTCAACTGTATAATAGAGAAAGAACAATCAGTAAAAAAAACAAGGAATGAATCTACAAAGGAATGCTTCCTTAAACTTTACATCTAAACTCTGGTGATATACAGAAAGATCACAAAAATGATTCAGTAAAAGGAACACACTAAAATACTGTTTTAACTTAATTTAACTAAAATAATTTGTTCTAATTCTCCACATCAAAGAACCAGCACCCCAGGAATCCAGAAAGAATCTTTAGGTGGTTCTAAAGGACAAAATATATTACCCATCCCAAACAAAAACAAACCATCCACAAAGGGAGTGGAAGAGATGGCTCAGAGGATGCAGGGTCAGTCCTCAGCACAGCACCACATGGTGAGTCACACCATCCATAACTCCAGTGCCGAATGATCAAGTACCCCCCTCTGACCTCCAGGGACATCACATACACATGTGGTCAACACACATCTGTGCATACATTCGTACACATAAAATAAATCTTTAAAAAACCCACAGGAGTTTTTTTTAATTTTTAATATCCGATTACAAAGGATAAAAATCATAAAAAAAAAACAAAACTATAGAATCTATAAATTATTTTCTAATAATTTATTAAGCCCAGTTGAAAGTTTCTCCATTTTTAAAATGGAAGTTTCTCTATTCACAATATTCCAGATCTTACAGGAGCCATTCCTGGAAACGCTTTCAACTGAAGACAGAACACTGGGTATCAGCCCCACTAGTCGACCATGGGTGTCTCTCATGAATTCACGAGCTACATAGTGGATACTCTCTAAATCACATATGAATTATTTTCCCTAACATCAGCCTTATGGCTAACTTTAATTAAATTTCATTTTGAGCAGGGCATGGTGGTACACACCTTTAATTCCAGAACTCAGTAGGCAGAGGCGGATGAATCTCTGTGAATTTGAAGCCAGGAGCCTAGCCTAGCCTACATACTGAGTTCTAGGCAATCCAGGGCTATACAGAGACAGGGTGGAGGTAGGAACTGTGTTTTGAAGCTGAAGAAATGGTTTGGCAGTTAAGAGTACTTCCTGCCCTTGGAAAGGGATAGGTTGAGTTACCAAAAACCACACGGCAGCTCACAACCACCTGCTAATGTCAGTTCCAAGGAATCCAACATCCTCTTCTATCCTCTGTGGACACCAAGCACACACATGACACACACACATACATATATGCAAGCACTCAATGCATACACACAAAATAAAATAAATAAATCTCCTTTTAAAAAAAATTGGGTAGGCACAGTGATGTATACCTTTAATTCCAGAACTTGAGGGACAGAAGCAGGTAGATCTCTGTGAGTTTGAGTCTAGTCTAGTCTATGCAGAGTTTTCCTGGACAGGCAAGGTTAAACAGTGGGGCCCTGTCTCCTTTTACTTTCTTTTTTTTTTTAATTGTTTTTTTTTTCCGCTACATATTTTTTTCTGTTTCCCCATCTCTTTTTTAAATTTTATTTAGAATTAAATTTGGCAACACAGGTAATTTCATAGCTAAATTAACACTAACACATTAATTATGAAATGTTGATATTTGTTCATGAAAAGTATGTACCTTCTAAAACAAAAAATTACTTCAAACATAAATTTGGTTTTATTTATAGATCTCTTGTACTCTTTCTGTAGACTTAAAAAAATAAAAATGGTAATAATTTTAATGAAGGTATCAGAAACTGGCTGGTTCCTACTCTCCTCTAAATCAGATCTAAATTTAAATGCTACCCCTTCTTAAAGAACTTCATTGAGGCTCAATAAGCATCAAGACCCAATTCCTTTTTCTTCCAAGAACTCAATCAGTACTTGAAACTTGCAAAACAATATCCCCCACCTATTTAAATTCAGGGCTCTCCAATCAGATTTCTCATCTGCCTTATTTGACAACACATCTTCAAGAGCACCCATAACACAGCAGGTAGTCAATGATGTTGACTCAATGACTGGCTGACAACAGAGTCCACTATCGCTATCTATTTTCCATGAACTATCTCTTGAACATAATTCCTTCCCAATAAAAAAACCACTCGGGCCAGTAGAGGGCTCAGTTTATAAAAGCACTTACTGCCAAGCCTGACACCCTAAGTGTAGCGCAGAACCACATGATGGAAGGAAAAGACCAACTCCTATACCTTGTCCTCTGATAAGTGTTTGTGCACATCCATGCACATATGCACAGAACAGAAATTTGAAAAAGCCAATTTTTATTATCAGTTACTGTATAATTTCATAGACTTAACACTTTGTTTGCTGCCAGGCAATGAATGGTAGCACCCGCCTTTAATCCCAGTACTCACTCAGAGGGCAGAGGCAGGTGGATCTCTATGATTTTGAAGCAAGCCTGGTCTACAAAGTGAGCTCCAGGACAGCCAGAGCTACACAGAGAAACCCTGTCTAAAAAAACAAACAAACAAAGAACAGGTGCACACCTGTAACTCCAGCACTTGGAGGCTGAGGCAAAGGATTAAAAGTTCCAGACTAAGTAGGGCAGTGGTGGCACATGTCCTTAATCCCAGCACTTGGGAGGCAGAGGCAGGCGGATCTCAGTGAATGTGAGGCCAGCCTGGTCTAGAAAGTGAGCTCTAGGACAGCCAGGACACAAAGAAACCTGTCTCAAAAAACAAAAACAAAACAAAATAAAAGTTCCAACTAGCCTGGAATATATACAAGACCTTATCTTAAAAAAACAAAAAATGAAAAGGTTTCATCCTTAGTCTTATGCCAATACAAGGACAAGTCTAAAACACTAAAGCCAAAGACAAAGAATTGATCATGATCTACCTCTACAAACAATACTCTGTGAAGGAATTCTTTAATACTTACGGAAGGCTTTGTCTATTCTCCATCCATTTGTTTTTTCTTCACGTTTAAATTTATTCTGTTAACAACAAAAAGACCTATAGTAATGTTCTGCCGTTAAACAAGGATTATTTCTAATTAGTGAGCAATAATATGAAATTCTACAAAGCACACTATTTTGTATTAAATGGTATATTATTGCCAATAGGTTAAGTTACTTAAAGCTTTAGTTTCTTAAAAATGAGAATAGAGAGCTACAAAGATGGCCCAATGGGAAAGAGCACTGGCTGCCCTTCCAAGGACATGGGTTCAATATCTAGCAGCCACATGGAGGTTCATGACATCTCTAAATACAGTTCAAAGAATTAATGCCCTCTTCTTGCCTCCTCAAATATCGTACACATGTGATGTGTGGGCAGACGTGGACAAACAGATGGACACACAGACATGGACACACACACACACTGCAAATAAATTTTTTGTAATGAAGATGAAAGATTCACACAAATTTTCCTCATCCTATCTTTATTATCAATAGCAGAAATAAACAATGAAAGCCAGATTTACAGCATATAGAAAGTAGTCATGGGCCAAGCTTGACAGCTTTAGTTCAACATCAAGAACTGATAGAAAGGTAGAAGAGAAGCAACTCCCACTGAGTAATCCTATTACTTGTATATATTCATTGGGTATGAGTGACCCTATACACATACAGATTCATATACACACAGACATGTAAATACGCTAGATTGTAAGAATACAAGTTGACTAAGCCAAGCAATGGTAGTGCACGATTTTAGTGCCAGCACTCAGGAGACAGAGGCAGGTGAACTTCTGAGATTCGGGCCAGCCTAAACTACAGAGTGAGTTCTAGGACAGCCAAGGCTACACAGAGAAACTGTCTTAAAAAGTCAGAAAAAAATAAATAAAAACAAAAACTAACAAAAAAAATTTGACTCTCAAACTAAACAGATAAAATGTATAGTCAATTAAGCTAACACTAACTTAATCCATTGTTATTATTCCAGAGTGTTTTAAGTGTAATAGAGGGAAGTCTATTTACACTGTAAATCCAAATCCTGCCTGGGTGAGTCCGGACCAAGTCACAGGTATTAGGCAGGGCAGGGCACTACCAGGAAATCTGGTCCTGATAAGTGGAGTTCAAACTGGCTCATATCCCACCAGGTTTGAGGCAGAGTCCAGGCCTAGAATCTTACACCACACACTTCAGGAGTCCTAGAACTCACGGTGTGTGTGTGTGTGTGTGTGTGTGTGTGTGTGTGTGTGTGTGTGTGATTCTTGTAAGATTTCTCAATTTCTCCCTCTCTCTCTCACACACGCACGCATGCACACACAGAAAACATAATAGAAACAAATGACCATGAATTTAGTTAAAAGAAAAATATCTTAGTAATTTTTTGACCCCGTCTACCCAATAAATGTTATAGGTATACTTTACCTTAATTTCTATCCTTTCTCTGTGAGGAAAAAGTTGTCCAATCATAGAAAAGTCAGTTCCTACCATACTAATGGCCAAAAAGAACATATCTGTTTCTGTCAAAACAAAAGATTAACTGAAAATTAATTTTCTGTTCAGACAAAATGACATAAGAATATTAGTTAAAAATAAGTTAGACAATATTTAACTTTACTGAAAAGAATGTCAAAGAATTTTAAACACCCTATACATTTTGGGGGGAAAAATCTCCATAGGTAAGTGTAATGATACATTCCATAATTCCAGAACTCAGGGGGCTATGGTAACAAGGACTCCAGCTCTGTACCCAACAGGGACAACTTCAAAAATGAAGTAGATGACCCACCCAGTAGACAACTAAAAAGTTCATCCTCTCACTCCAAAGTGTCCCTAAAAGCTTGAGGATTGATCACATGTACTTGCTGGAACAAAAAGAGGGCCACCCAACCAGGTAATAAGCCAAACTTGAGACAAAGAGGTCTCTGAAAATAGACTTTCTGAATTCAAGCAGTTGCTAGTCAGAAATGAAGGGCCAGTGCTGGCAGAGCTGCCACAGCTCCACAGCACACTGAAAAGAGTAACTAACCAACACCTGATTGGACTTAAGGCCCTCTCCAAAAGATGGAATCCATCTCTAACACTGATTGAGTGACCAAGAACCTGAGTCTAGATAATCCAGGGACCTGGGGCAAAATCAAATAATATGGTCTAAAAGGAAACAAACAAACAAACAAACAAACAAACAAACAAACAATGTAGTGATAAAATGTCTCCTAATGATGCTATACTCATAAATATTTCCTTCCTCCGCCAGCCATCATCAGAGAAGCTTCCTCCTGCAACAGATGAGAACAAATATGGAGAGCCACAGGCAGATATTAGTCACAGAGTGAGAAACCTGGAACACTCAGCCCTAAATGGGATGTTTCCATCAAGTCCCTTCCCTCAGAGCTCAGAGAACCCCATGGAAGAGGAGGCAGAGTCTAAGAGCCAGAGCGTATGTAGGACACCAAGAAATCAACACGAGGAAAGCTCTGATGGACTCAGATGCTGGAGCAGCATGAAGAGGGCTGCATGGTGCTACACTTACACTATGAAGAGGGCTGCATGGCTACACTTACACTATACAGGGCTTCCAGTTTAGTGTTCTCATGGGATTCCTGGGTGGGCTTCTGACTGCTGTGCCCTCTTTGGGCTCTTTTCCATCTGCTTGCCTGTCTTGCACTACTTTAATGTGGCTGTTTTTGTTTATCTTTATATTTTGTTATTTTTTTTTAAAAATGAAGGAATATAAACCTAGCCAGCAGGGCACAGGCAAACAATAGAACTGTCATTCATATCTGGGAGAGGAAAAACCAGTTTTCTCAATGGAATGACAGTAGTTTATCAACCACTCCAGGTTAGATCTCATGTTCAGTTACAACAAATAACAGATCCCACAGATTTTTGTGTGTGCATGTGCGTTTTTATTTGCTTACAGTTTGGTGGGTTTGGGTGTTTTTTGTTTGGGCTTTTTTTTCCCCTTTTTGGGTGACATTGTATTTTGTTTTCAAGGTTTTGGGCATTTTGTTGTTGTATTGGACTTTTTTCACTTATTTTTTGAGAAAGAACTTAAAGTTGGATGGGTAGGAAGATCTGGATGAACTGTGGGAAAAGGAAGAATACGATCAAATATATTTAAATTGAGAAAGTGTTTTAAATAATAATTAAAAAACAAAAATACTAAATATAGTAGATACTGAATCTTATTGCTATCAAACAACCGTATATAATATAAAGAAGTATTTTGGAATATTAGATTTCCATAAGCCAATAAAACTTAGAAATTATTAGCAAAGCTATGGTAAAATAATACTTTTTATAGACAATTGGTAAAAGTATAAATTGTTGGGGCTTCTGTGTTTGGCCACCTACAAGAAATAAAATACTCAGTGACTGGCAAAAAAAAAAAAGAAAAAAAGCAGGGGGCTGGAGAGATGGCTCACAGGTTAAGAATGCTGACTGTTCTTCCAGAGCCCAGCAACCACATGGTGGCTCACAGCCATCTATAATGAGATCTGATGCCCTCTTCTGGCATGTAGGCAGACATGGAAACTAATAAACAAATAAATCTTTTTTTAAAAGAGAGAGAGAGAGAAAGAGAGAGAGAGAG